CTCACCCACACCCACACCCACACCCACCCACACCCACACCCACACCCACACACCCACACCCACACCCTCAATCTGGTTTTACACTTACACGCTCATTTTGTAACAATGTGTAAGAATCATGGTGGTTTATCAAATATCGGATGCTTTGGGCAGGAAGATCTTATTGGATCTGTTGGGTCCAACCATCATGGTACCAGGTATTATGGTGAATCGATTGTTTATTACTAAAATATCGATTTTTCTTTACATAAAAAATCGACAACAACAACAATGAATGAAGCACCTGATCCAGTAAATGAATCTCTCCATCAATATGATATTCTTCATGCTGAATTATGTGATTGTGGCCAACTATACAAATGCTTTAGTATTTATCGTCGTTTTGTTATTAAACAACAAATGTTTCATTCATTGATATACAAGAAACGTGGTAAATCCATAAGTTATTTCATCCAGTATTCATATGATCGATGTCATTATAATTTTGGAACCATTGAGTATTTTTTTTCTGTACAATCCAAGGAAAAATCATATGCACTTGTTAACGTGTATCGTGTAAAGCAAAAGTATAGTGATCATTTTGAACAGTCGAAATATTATCATTTATTGAAAGAACCTTTAGATAGGTTTTTTTGTTTTAGAGAATTGTCCTTGTAAAAAAACCATTATTGTTACTGATTGTATATTGAAACATTGTATTGTATTTGACATGAATGAATATATTCTTGTTACACCTGTTTCCACATATAATGAACACGATTAATTACCTAAATAATGCTTCAAATTCTTTTTCTGTTTCAGATAAATATTCAAGTATATATTTATATATAACCAACAAAAATGTTATTTGATCGAAGTCATCGAGAAAAAAAGTCAAAAAAAATATATTCACCATCAGATCCATTGGAACCATATTATTATTTAGTTTCTCATGATGGTCCAGAAAAGTATCAAGTTGTTGGTCGTACAAGTGTTCAAAAAATGTTCAATGGTAGAGCTGTCGTCTCCAACATTTCTGGTGAAGTACAGATTATAACATCAGGTAAAAATTTATCTATTTGCGGATAAGAAGTACCGTATAATGTGAGATATGAATTTTGAAATCTTTTAGGTACTTTCGATTATTGTAGAAAAGAATTAAACCTGAAGATGCAAGAATTGGAATGTGAAGCCGACGACAAGGATGGTGATGGTAACAAGTTTTGAAGTTACTTCTGTGAAAAATAACTTTTTAATTTGTCTTAGAAGTAGATGAAGACGATGATGATCCCATAAATGATGACAATGGTGACGATGAAATCAATGACGATGATAATGGTGACGACACGTCGTATGTCAATCAACCATCGACGAATTGTTTGAAACGGCCTAGTCATGGCTTTAGTACACGTAACAAATGTCACTATTTATTTAAAGAATTGTTCTAATCCTTCCTCTTTCTATTTAGCTGCGTTGAAACGTTCATATAATAATGGTAAATTAGCATCACGATCAAATCAACGTTGCAATCGTGGTATGCACTTTTAAATGTGGAGTATTCATTTTCATATTTATTTTTTTATTTTTATTTCAGATCATTCTTTGCAAAATGATGATCGAAGTCGATTAACAGTTACTGTTGCTCGTGATCCTGCTGCTAACAAAAACATGAATCATCATTATCGAGAACAAATTACTGGTATGAATGAAATAATTTTTTTTGTATTAGTTTTCATCTGTATCTTGTATTATTTTAACATTGCAGGTAATGCTTCACGTTTAAGATGTGTTACACATGATGATAATTGTCGTTCAGATACAAATATTGGTAATGCTGGTTCATGTTTTGTTGTATTATTAATTCAGTTTTTTCGAGTACGAGTTTGTTCTTTTCTATTTAGGACCTACGTTCAAAGATGAAATGATTAGTGGAATGCGTTCATTACGAAAACAACTTTCAAAATTGACAAAAACAGTAGATCATCTAACAATTCCATCAGTATCTGTTAGTACTTCTTTCCTTTTGGGCTTGGTAATTTTTTGTTGTTTGGTTTATTTTCATTTTCAGAAAAACGATCAGTTATTATCATATCGTGATGAAAATGATAAAGAAAATTATCCTGATGAAATTGTAAGCGTACTTTACGATCGAATTTTTATTTCAATTTTTAGAATTATTATCATATAGATATGGAATGGTAAAAATTTATTGAAAGTAACTGCTCAAGATGTTGGTGATTATGGAAGAAAACTTATGGATATTTTATTTACAGAAGAAGAATTACAGTCTAGTATTTTGCCATCACAAGCCGCACACCTGTATCAAAAAAACGTTTTGGATGAAGAGCGTTTTCAAATTTTGAATGGTACGTTGACAAAAGATGTAACTGTTAGAGAAGGCAGTTCAGTCAGCAATTTTGTATATTTTTAACTAAATTTCGTTTAAGAAAGATGTAAATGGAAATGTTACATGCATCTTTTTGTCATCTCTATATTTACAAGTAACAGTTACACTTTCTAACTCTCAGAAAATATAGACGTGATGCTAACTCAAAGTAGAAGCCATCTATCCTTTCCATATATTGCTCCATTCTGCATCGAGAAAAGACGTTTTTGAATTCATTTCAGATGCGATACATATTAAATATCGACTATCAGAAGATGGTTATCGTCGTTATTATACTAATACATTACGTGTAAAATTAAGTAGATATTTATATGATCAAGGGACACGAAAATTGAAGAAAAACGTAGGATTACTTGAACAGCAACAGCAACATCATTTACCATAACAACAAACAGCCACAACAGTAAGTTCAACTCTAATTATTCAATTATGCTTTATAGCTACACAAGACATTCATAACTGCTATACACATTGCTGATAAAAATAGTTAGTTTATGCCATTTAAAATGTGTTATATTTTTTTTTATTTGAAACTTTTTCTGAAACTTGTTTTGTTCATATGAAATAGTTCATCTAGAAAATACCTGTTATATACTATATTTACATACTATTACTTTTCGTGTGATTTATTTGTGGTTGTTTCGCGTAATCGTTGTATTTTATTTTGCGTGATTTTCATTTTTGTCTGTAGATTCTTATAATGAAAATAAATATTGCATAACGTTATCAGAAATTAAGTGTTGGGAAAAAATAAACAATAAACGACGGAAGCAGCTTTCATTTCAAACGATGCAAAACGGTGAGATTAATATGATTGAGGATGAAAATACAGTCCTTTTACCATTTACCGTTTTTCATCGGAAACCGCCTCAAACGGCATCGTTTACGTTCCGAGGAAAAACGGCCCTCAATCCGAGCTGACGGAAAACGATCAAAAAACGATGAAAAACGGCGGTCGTTTTGCATCGTTTAGGGCAAGAACCACGCCGTTTCTTCATCGTCTTAGGCCTTTTAAGACGTCGTTTCAGACGGCCTGAATGATGGACCTGGGATATGCCTCGATAGTTGTCACAGATCCGTTTATCACCCTTATTCTTGTATAGTCGTATTATAATGGCTTCAACCCATTTCTTTACCATTATCTCCTGTTCCCATACATCGTGAATAATTTCATGTAACCATTCAGCGACACAATGACCGCCCGCTTTTAGGAGTTCCGCTGGTGCATCGTCTTTTCCTGGAGCGTTTTTTACTTTTTATTTCTCCAATTGCCCTTACAACCTCATCAAGAGTTGGTACAGCGTCCTGCCGAGAAAGCTCTTCATCATCAACTGTATGACTTGGAATTTGTTGTAAAACTTGTTCGCTTACTGTTGTATCAACGTTGAGCATTTCATCAAAATACTCTTTCTATCGATTCAATTGATCTTTACTGTTTGTTAACGTTGAGCCATTCTTATCCTGGACTGGTATGTGATTTATGCTTGGTCCATTTCCACGTAACCTTCGAATGATTTGAAAAGCAGTTGTTGGATCGTGTACTTTGACTGCATTTTCTATTTCTATGCTTAACTCCTCCCAATATTCATGTTGCCTAGCATATACTTTGTTTTGTACTATTTTTGCCAACGTTCGGTATCTGTTTCTATATTTATTCTCGTTGGTTGTATTACGGTGCAGTTGCCAGTCTACATATGCTTTAGCTTTTTTATCAACAATTTCCTTTAGTTCGGGTGTGAACCATTCTTTTCCGCCTTTATGAATGCTTTTATTGTTTCCAAAGTAGTGTTTGCCACGTTCTCGAACACTGTTAACAAAATTTGTGAACTTTTCATTCACCGATAAAGTTTTATTATCGCTCCAAATGACTTTGCTTTCATTCGCTAATTCAATTCGGAAAGCAGAGAGTAAATTATTATTTGTCAATTTTAACTGATCAAGTCTTATCCGATATTTTTTCTCTGTTTTTCTACGACATTTCAGATGTAAACGAATTTTAGCTCGTAATAAATGATGATCTGTTCCAATACCACCAGTAGCACCTCTATGAACTCGTACATCCTGTACACTAGATCGAAATTTACGATTAACTAGTACATAATCTAACATGTGACATTGTTTTGTTTTTGGATGCATCCATGTGCCTTGATGGGCTGTTTTATGTGGGAAGAATGTGTTAGTAACTATAAATCTATTAAATAAACAGAAATCGACTAGTCCGCAACCGTTTTGATTTTGTTTGTCAATAGCATGCTTACCGACAGTTCCTCCAGCTGTATTGGCCTGTTCTACCCCAACACGAGCATTAAAATCACCCATTATCATAATCATATCACTCTTATGAGTTTTATTTATTGTTGCTTATAGAATTTTATAGAACTCGTCACAAGTTTCAATATCATTTTTTACTTCATTCGAGGGATCTATGGGTGCATAAACAGCTATGATGGTGACTGGTACAGGTCGACATTCAATACGTACAGTTACACTTCTTGAACTCACTGCTTCCCATTGAGCACCTGAGTCCTTCCAAGCATTAGTAGCTTCAGGACCCAAACATACAGCTGCCCCGTATGCAGATTTTGATAATAATTGAGAAGGTGAACCTGAATATATGAACGTATATCCATTTACTACGCAAACACCCGAATCCGGTATTTTTGTTTCAGCCAGTGCCGCCACCTGAATTCGATACCATTTTAACTGACGAACAATAAGTTCTCGTTTACTGACCCTATAACACGACCTGACATTCCATGATCCAAAAAGTGTTCCCCTGGTTGTAGTAACAAGTTTGGTTTGTTCATTTTCGTTAGTCAGATATGGTTTAACGTCCTACACTCTGGTGACTAGCCCAAAAATAAGACATAGTGGCTTCTGGACCCCAGGAGACGCCCTCCCAGCACCGTAAGCAGCACTAGGTCCCCTGGGAGTACGTAAATACTCCCCAGTAGGGTTGGTTGGAAAATAACACGCATAAGAATCAGCATCGGTAGGCAACAAACAAAAAAGCGACCCTATCGGCTCGGAAATCAGCGAGAGATCGGACATATCACTGTTTAAGAGCGCTTTGTTCATGACAATAGGATAGTCGAGTGACGTCAACATCACGATAGTTGGTCTTGATGATAAAAGAAAGGCAACACAACAACAAGAGAATGAAATAGAGATATCGCTTTCATTTTATCCATCGACTCTGGTGGCCACAAAGCGAGTACAGTTCACAGAACTCGAAATAACATTCTCTAATTGCGATGTTCGCAACAAGAATGAATGACACTTCTGCATAGATAACAGTGTATTCGATAAGAAAGAAGAAACATGCACAGAGAGAAAAAATGGAAGTAAAAGACGACGTTGAAGATTAATTTTCGTCTTTGTTCTTTTCTTTCTTTCACTACGTATCAGTATAACTGTGTGAATACGTGATATGTAATTCATCGATGGCGTTTTCTATACATTTGATGAATTTTCTTGTGCCGTAACAATCAAGATCATTTGAGATATTCTTGAACAGTATCGAAATCGTAAATATGCCCTGCCGATGGCACTGCCAGCGGTCTATCTTCGTTCACTGCTGACACCCAGACGCAACGAATAAATTCTACCGCTACCACCAAACAGCTCTAGCTTGATCTGCATTGACTGGAATATTCTTGGACACAAGGCTCGACTTTAGTGAAGCTGTTTTCGAACGGCATAGCTTGTCTTATGGGCGGGGAAACCTCTGACTTGCCCACTGCTGTTCTGCAACACAGTATGTATTCTGCTTTAAACATTTGAGATATAATCTACTTTGATGAATTCAACGACGTAGGATATTCTTATCAATTACTGAAAGCAAGTATACTTGTATTTCTCTCGTGAACACCTATTTGCAACCCAGAATACATGGCTTTCAGTGATTTTTGAATGAATTTGATTTGATTTAAATCAGCTGGTTTTCCTGATTCAGTTCCTTCTCAATGGTGTTTAAAATCAGGTATTTGCTCATCATTATCTACGCATAGAATGCATTCACGTTTACTAGCAGAAGATGGAAATACAACAGGTTTTGCTCTGAATGGTTTTCGTACTATGGGTCTATCATAATTTCAATTTTCTGTTCATGCTGTCGATTTACTCTTTCGTTGTCAAGTGATGTTGTAATATATTTGCTACTTTTCAAGTATTTTCACAAAATCAGATCATCTCTCGATTATCTTAATTAAACATTCATTCAAATGCTTGAATTTATTCATCGAGTATTTGATGGCAATGCTATCATATCGGTACTGCGCCCTAACTAATATTTTACAATTATCATTGAAGCTTCCATATTCATCTATCTTGGTCATCCGATTATTGATCAATAGAAATACTCGTTGAGCAATCATTTGACTTGGGAACAAGAAGCAACTATTCATTATTGGAACAGCAAGAAATTACATGAATGTTTTGAAGAACAAGCAAAAAATTATGTTAAGAAACTATTTTCCTCATATTCAAAGTTTTTTGGTGATGACACTCCATGTTTGATTGTATCGAACGTTGAGCACAGTCGCTTAGACTCATCTTCATTGATACTTTTTTACTACAAGTATTGATAAAATTTTTTTGTATTGAATAAGTCGCTTGAAAGAGTGAATAATATTCAAACGCAATTAAAAACATTTCATTTGATGAAGAAGCTGATATTTTGATTTAAAGACAATATCTAAATTGACAACAAAAATTTCGAATCTAAAGATTTTAATTGCAGAGCATCACATGTTCAACTTCGTTCATAGATGAGAGCCATTTTTTGTTTTATTTCAATATCATGATGGGAGATCTTGATTCCTTGAAACTTGATGTGAAACAGTAGCGACTTGTATCCCAGGCAAGACACGATTGCCATCGCAAATCGGTAAGGCTTTGGACATTAAACGAATAAGTTCTTTTCTGTATGTATGAGCCGAAAGAGTGTAGAGAAAAAATGTCATGGCATAGGATAAATGAAAGAAGAATGGAACGATCATGAATGCATATGAAAAAGTCATTGTAGGCCTGTATCCAGTCGGTAACACTAACATTAAATAGAGTATGCACAAAGGCATATTGAATATTAAGTAAGTAACGACTTGAATGAGAAGCATGCGTACTAATTGACCTTCATTACGGCGATGAGCCGTATTTGCAATGGGAAGAGTATTTGATTGATTTATATTGTAGATGGTTAGCATACCGAACAATATCATCAGACATGGTGGAACGGCAGAGAACAGGGTTATTTGAGAGAGCACATACACTGCGTTGTAAAGAATATCAGTTCGTATGATACATAGAACTTTACCATATTGTACCATCAAATCATTCAACACTAATGTATTAGTGAAAAACAGGATTGATGAAAGAACAGTACAGAAAATTGCCCATCGAGCCACAGTAATATTACTGAAGCTGCGCAGTTTGACGCTTTTTGAACTAGCACAAAATCGATCGATTGATGCAAAAACGATAAAATAAGGTGATATAAATGGACATCCAGTAGCAATATATTGAGTAACTTTACACCACCAACTAGAGACAAGCTTCAGATCCATTTGATATCCATTGACCAATAAGTAATACACAAGGATACATGCATAAACTAGATTATTAATTGCTAATGCAAGAAAATAATAGGAGCATGCATGAGACCGCAAGTTAGGTCGAGTAAATACAAAAATATTAAGAAGATTGCCTACTACACAAAGAATAATGATAATAGGCAAGATAATTTGCGCTAGTTGAATAGAAAGTTGCGTGAACGAGTCAATCATTGCTGCTGCTACTTTTATTTTTTTATGAAATAATGACAAAAATTTTTCATCTAACTCTCTACATATAAATATTTTCAAAATTTATTATTTATGCTATGTTAAAGAATGAAGTTTTCTACATGATTTAGCATGCTCAAAGCATATCATGAAGTTTTGCAACAAATTATCATGGACACATGAACACCATTTTTATCAGATGCTGACTCGAGTAGGTTGTGTCAAGGAGTAATATCAGTGTAGTCGAATCAACCATTTAAACAGCGTCTGGATATAAAGAACTTTTTGTATATTTTTTGGCAAAGACTTTAAAAAATTCAGTACAACAGGAGGATGTAAAATGGATACACTTTCGTCCTACTTCATTGTGTTCTCTGTATTTATGTAAGACAGTCATGTATAGCCCTTGGTCTTTATGTGAGATGGTGATACAGAGATTCCAGGCTGTATACTTCAGAGACAAATGAAAGACGATTATGCTACATAATCTTCTTGTCTAAACTACACAATGTTGGTTTGTGTTGAACGCTCACTTAGCTTCGATTAAATGTTAAATTCAATGTCGTAAATTACATTCTTTTCTATGTTTGAAGAAGATATGATATTTAAAAAAATACAACGGTTACAAAAATATAAGTTCACGGTTTTATTTTTGCTAATGTGATGGAAAAAACTTCGTGAATAATAGATTTTTTCTGTAGTCAGTAACAACAACAGAATTATTATCATTGATCAAGATCGATCGATTTCACATATGCCTAAGTTCAAGTAAAGAATATCAAGGAAAATAAAACAACCCAAAAGTCTAGTTCTTTATTAAAGAATACCTATTTATCAGCTATCTTAATCTCAAATCGCTGATAAGAGAATCTAAAAAGAACTACACATTTCCATGAATTTATACATTCATAATACATTTGAGCGCCTCTTTTTTTTGGGAATTATGTTTATCTGGATGCAGTCGAACGCTATGCTATTTACAAATTCAAGTAGAGATAAACATTATTTTTCAAGTAAAGCGTGTATGATGTTAAAAAAGCATACTTCTATTCATCCGTATAGACTGTTGTTTATTGACTATCATCTTAATAGAATAAGAAAGCCTAAGAATAACTTGTCCAGATTAGCGTGTGTACGGTTCTCTAAGCAAGATGAATGAAGATGCATTATTTCCTCGACTGAAGGAAGAATCATATGAAATAAAATGAGTTTGTGGCTGTGCTTCTATGTTTGCATACACGTAGCTAGTCACGTGCCCCTCTGTATCAGTATAATTTATAAAGTTTGACGGAAGGTAATCGGAATCGAGGAATCCAAGGGTGTGGGTGTGGGTG